GTATGAACAGGACGGTGTGTACCAGTATCAATAGCATTTTTTAAAATGATATCAATTTTTGATGGTTCACTAATGTCAAATAATTTTCCATATTTCCATAAAATTTTTAAAATTGGTTCTCGCTGTTTATCATCGCTAATATGTTCAGTTAATTTATTTATTTGCTGTCTTATTTCGTCAGGATAACATTGGTTTCTAAGATGCTTGAATAATTCATTGCTAGTATCAAAATGTTGATAACATTTACGACATTGATGTTGTTTTCCATGTGATGCTGTAGTTGGTATGCTGTTACATTTTATTTTATTTTATTTGTTCGCTCCTTTCCATTCAGGAATGAGCTCTTTACACGCTTTTCCTTCCGGAATGCGTTCTATTAAATAATTCGATGGTACGGTGACACCAATTGTAGAAGATAATTGTGTCACCATACCTAATTTGGTTCCTTCGGAAAGCGTTTGCTGTCGATTGGTTGCATTAATTATATTAATTTTTATTGTTCCATTTTCAATATTGAGTAATGCATTGGCAGTGAATAATGCTTTATTTTTTAATCGAGGATTTGGTTCAAATAATATGTCAGTCATATTGTTAGGCTGAACTTTTGCTTCTACTATTTTTTCTGAAAAAGGAGGAAGAGTAATATAATTAATCAGAGTAGCTGGATAATTTAGAAAAGGTGGTTGTACAAAAGGAGCTGATACTTCTCTACCTTGATTTCGGATCATAATTCGTTGTTCAGGTGTAAGAATATAAACGTTATTTGATTGAATCCAATCATTACCTAATATTAAATTTGTAACAAGATTTGTTGTGATATCAGCAATAATTATTGTTTTTATTCCATTAACGTTTATTTCTAAAGGTACTTCGCCAATAATATTTAATGTTCAGCAATTTGCAGATAAATGATTTATTGTTTTTGGTATAAGTTTTTCATGTGGTATATCATTTAATAAATGTTGATGTATAATGGTGATGGCCGATCCGGTATCAATGAGTGCTGTTTGTGGAGTGTTGTTGCATAAAATTTTAACAAAAATGGGAGTAAATGTTGTTGTGGTTGATGACTTTTTGGCTCCACAGGGATCGTCGCCATCATCCGATCCCTTTATTCGAAAAAATGTTGTTGAGGACAGTCATGTATTTGATGATTTCATTGTCCACATTTAAAACAGCCGTTGTCCTTCTTATAAAAACATTTAATTGTTGGATGATTTTTCTTATTGCAAATTAAACATAAATTTGATTGTTGTGTTTTGTTTCCTGGATAATCTTTTCGATTGTGTTGGAAAGTTAAATGATCATTTTGCTTTGAATATGTTCGATTATTTGTTGATGTTGATTGTTGATGTTGGTTTTTATAATAATGATGTGATGTAAATGGTTGTTGACTGGATAAATGAATATTCGTTGACGTTGGTTGAATTGTTGCAGTTGGTAATGTATGTTCAAAAAATGGTAAAGTCTTTGGTTCCTGATGTGGAATGTTATTTTTTTGTTGAATTCGTTTTTGTATATGTTCTTCTTCTCTTGCAATTTGCAACCATTCTTCTGGTTTTTTAATTTCTTTTTCATTACGGATTAAATGTTCCTTTAATGAATTTTTTACCCCATTCTGTAATACCATAATAACTTGTTGTTCAGTAATAAATTGTCGAGACTTTCTGTATTTTCGGATAACATCTTCATAAAATGATATAACAGATTGGTTTTCTTCTTGATGAATATAAAAAAATTCTTGCATTAATTGACTGTCTGATGTAAATTCTTTAAATCGATCTCGTAATGCTCTTTCAGCATCACTCTAGTTGATGAATGATGGTAAATTTCCTTGATACCACCGTAATGCTGGTCCTGTTAATTTGCCCATTGTTTCAAGAATTCTTCTTTCATTTTTTAATTTCATTAATGAAAATAAATTATTTAAGTCAAATAACCATTCATCGATATCAAGTTCATTAGCTTCCCCTGAAAATTCAGCTATTTTCTTCATTGCTTCTTTCTGACTTGAATGAAGTTGTTGGGTTTCCATTGAGGTTATTTCCCTTGAAGTTGATTCCATTGAAGTTGTTTCCATTGAGGTTGTTTCGGTTTCTTGCATAGATGAAATATTGTTTAATTTTTTATTTCGTATTCTTGTTGGTGAATTAGTAATTAATCCGTATGGTAAAAGATTTGCTCCACTTCGTTTAATTGCTCTTCTTGTACCGGTAGCCGTTGTTTAAAAAAAATATGCACTTAAAGAAAGGACAAAAAATTTGAACTTTATACCGAAGAAAATTACCTTCTTCTAATAAATAAATAATATATATGTATGTAATTTTTCTCTCTCTTTCCCTTAAAAGGATGAGATTATACTTCACTCTTTCCGTTACGGATGAGTAAATTAATTAAGGAATTCGTTCTTCTTCGGTGTAGTAAATAGAAGAAGATGGGTCACGGCACCAAATTGTTAGCTCGCTTTACGAGCTGGCGTTTATTTATTATATATATTTCCCTAATGTCCTTAAATCACGTACATATATATATAACAACAAAGAAGAGAGAATAAAAGAAAACAAGGGATATAACAATAAAAGTGTTAGAAAAATAGAAGAAGAAAGAGAAAGAAGAGAGAGAGCAAGGGTCCGGTGATGAATAACCGCTAACAACGCCTCATGAAACAAAATTCACAATAGTTACAGATAGAAATCGATCTATTGTATCGATTATAGAGTGAGAAGTAGCAATCATCACGCTTTTTGATCTGGCAGACGATTTTATAAGGCAGTTTGTATTTCCAACACTCTTAAGATAGAGCAAAGCTGGTGTGTGAGTGTGGGGTGTGGGTGTGGATTTTGGTTTGTGTGGATATAACTGTTCACAGTTGATCCACATCCACACTTCACATCCACACTCATACCCACACATCAGTGATTGGACCAGTGCAAGTACACTAAGTAAAAGTAGAAATATTTTTTACTTAACCACTGTACTTTGTACTTCAATTTAAGTTTACTTTAGTCCAGTGTATTGTACTCAAGTACTGGTGCTAAGTACAACTGTACTAAGGAATTTGTACTTTGGTACCAGTACTGATCACAACTGCAATTAAGTAACTTGTACTCTAGTACCAGTACTGGGTACGAATGTACTTAATATACTATACTTAACGCAATATACCCTAGTACAACTTCATATATAATTTTGACTAACATTTTCCGTATTACTATCTAATAGGGTGTGGGTGTG